AAGAAAACCCGTCCTTTCCGCGGCGGCCATTGCCGAGGGAAATCGTTCTCAGCGGCCCTGCTCGTTTGCCTGTGCCCGCAGGCCTCGGGCCCCGCCGACCCGGCGGTGTGGTGGGGTGCTCTGCCGGCCTGTGCGCAGGCTGCCCTGGGCTGAGCTTCTGAACCGGTGGTGCTTTATGGACCCGGCATGGTAGCTGGCATAGTCGTTTGGCACAGCTCTGAAACTTAGTGTCATGCATGTGCTGAAGCAGTCTACCGATTCAGGTGTGGGTCACCGTAGGCTCCGGTATGCCTCATTCCTCATATGCATTGCAGCTACTTCTTCGGGTGCCCTAAATCTGAATTCTCCCCTGTCCAGCTACAAATCCTTTGGGGCCCCTTGTGATAGCTCTGCTCTGAAGAAGCTTTTTCATGCTAAATGCCATGATGTGGGGATGGGGTGAAGTTATCAAACAAAATAATGCTTCACAGAGACTTTTGTTTCACTATGAATTTTATTTTATGTGAACCTTTTGGGGTAGGGTTTTTTTGTGCACTGTACAAGCACAGTTAGGGAAAACAATTGCTTGGCTCATGGTGCAGCATCTAAACACTGTTACAAAAGCACAGGAGAATAACTGGGTCCTTTTATTACAGAAAGACTGCAAGGAGATTCACAGCTGGCTTGCTGCAAACTCCAAGGAAGGCACAATTGAAGGTAGGTATGAATTTCTCGGGAGTTCAGGCTGCTCTCTGCACCCGGGAAACATCCTTAAAGAGCCTATCATTGTCTTTGATGGTCAGCATCTTCTTTGGTTGTACATGGATTGATTATTTCCTGTATTTGTTAACTTCTTTTTTAAGAGTGAATTGTGTTACCATCAGCTGAACAGCATGTTGCTTCACTGCTTCTCTTGCCAGTATGTGTAGGTGACAACAAGAGGGCCTGTTCATGTGTTTCCACTACCACCTGCCTGAGCTCCTCTGAGAACCTTCTTATCAGACTCTGATTTGGCATCCATTGTAGTAATAAAGTCAGTCCATTGTGTGTGGTATTGTCTACAGTTGGCCAGCTGATTGCTGGCACTCAGACAGCAAATTATTTCATGCTTCTCTTTGCATAGATGAAAGCAGAGAAGTGCCATGGTTTCTTCTTTGTAGTCCTAAGAACAATCAGGCAGCAGAGAGTAGCAATCTTTTAATTTTGTTGAATTTGCCATTGACTAAACATTATACAGGCAAAGAATAACTGAGAGGAGGCCAAGGAGGAAATACTGAGTGGCTTTTAGAAAGTGACCTGATTTGATGTATATGAACTTGATCTGAGAAATTGCTGGTTATTTTCTTCAGGGCCTGGTGACTCAAGTTAGGTTCAGTGAGAGAGAGTGTCTGCCTGAAGCCTTGAGCTCTAGCTAAACTTGCAGTCTAAACAGATATAAATGGTAAATAACAAGAGGGAAGACAGAAATGCAAAAACAGCAACTTGCTCAGGGTCATGTTGTGGACAGTGGCAGAGATGAGAACAGGACCAAGGTCTCTTGTCGTTATTTGCTGTGTTATAAGAGGATCGGAATGGGCCCATTTTGCCTTGGATTTTTTGAGGAGAAGGTCTTTCTGCGTGTGCAGTAATGCTGGGAACAGGGTTTGTATATGAAACGTGAGCTTCTGCAAAATGGGGTTTTCTTCGGAGCTTTATACTGGGTGCAGGATCTCAGGATCAAAAGCTGTGCCTCGGCCACTTCTACTGTCAAGCAGCTGAGGTGCTTTGTCATGCTTTCCTTGGTGTGCATCTCGGAAGTAAAAGCTTCTCTCTGCTTCCCCCTCTGTCTCTGCAGGCACATTTCCTGTCATGGTGAACAAGAGGCATAATGGCAACTTGCTTGTGCACCTGGGACCCAAACTGCAGGCCTACCCGGAGGAGCTGCTCCGGCAGCGGCAAGGCCACAACGGTCAGCCTGAGTACCTGATCCAGTGGAGTATCGTCAGCTTGGAAGAGAGAGTGGTGGGAGGCAGCAGTGCCTCCTCTGCAGAGACCAAGCCGGAGAACATCCTGATGTGGATGTCTGCAGAAGAGGTCTGTGCCAGCTGCCCGGCACTGCTGGGCAAGAGGAAGCTGGAAGGGCAGTGGGCGGAAGAGAAGGCAGCCAGCCCGTTCGCTGCAGACTTCCCGCTGGATGAAGCCTCACTGCTGGAGATGAAGGCTGATGTCAGGAGCCTGGTGCAGCGAGCTGGGCGGCAGATGGCCGAGGCTGGGGCCCCCGAGTCCTCCATCCTCAACACCATCCACGGGCTGAGCGCGTACGCCAGCATTGGCTCGCTGGCGGGTGCCTTCAAGGAGACGGGAGCCCTCGACCTGCTGATGAAGATGCTGTGCCACAAGGAGAAGCAAATCCGCCACAGTGCTGGCAAGATGCTGAGGGCCCTGGCTTCACATGATGCAGGTGGGGGCGGCTGCTGCTGCTCAGTGCCACTGAAGAGGTGCTGCTGGGCAGCTGAGGGGTGCCAGTCCTTCTGTAGGCCTGGGATGCCTGGGAAGCAGTGTGTCTCGGGGCTTGTTGGCAAAAGGGGAAGAATCAGACTGGAGCTTCCAAGCAGCTGCTTGGTCGTAGTTGTCTAGGGTGCTGTAAGACTTGAGAGCTCTTTCCCCTGACAGGTTCCTGAGCTGGGATGCTGATTCACTGTTTGGAGGACTTTTATGCCAAGGGGCTTGGCGGAGTGTTGGGGTGTCTGCTGCATGCTGTCAGTTGGAAAGGCTCTGGCCTGTTCTTGGCAAGGGAGCCTTTCCTCAGGCCTTGGTGGGTAGAGGCCTGGTCCTCACCCAGTCCTCTCATTTGAGAGGAGCTGACATGGCTCAGAAGTGACTGATGAGGCTTTGGGGACACTGGGAGGGTGGGGTGTGTCCCAGGAGAGATCTGGCTTTCCCTGCCCTAGTGCCCAAGTTCATGTGGCTCTCCAGCGGGGCAGATGGGGGGCTGCTTTGGGTTAAAACTTAGCTTTCTTCTTCCCTGGAACCCTGTTCTGGAGTCGGTTATTTGGGGTTGCTGCTTTGGGGGAATCTTGCAGCTTTAGGGGTGGAAGAAATGCAGTGTTATTTGGTGGAGCAAAATGTTGCCAATCCAGATTAAAGGACAGAACATGGTTCTAGGTTACGCTGAGCAGCAAAGCTGTTCCTTGCCTGCAAGTCTATCTTGTGCCAGGAGGGTGGGGTGAGGGTTATCTTTATGGGGCCTGAAGGGTTTCTGTTGTTGTTGCAGGGAGCCGGGCCTATGTCCTGCTGTCCCTGAGCCAGCAGGATGGCATTGAGCAGATTGTAGACTTTGACAGTCGCTACACCTTGCTGGAGCTGTTTGCTGAGATGATGTCTTCTGAAGAGCACTGCATGTCCTTTGAGGGGATTCACCTTCCCCAGGTAGTGGCAGGCCCTGCCAGCGCTGGGCCTGTGGGCTTTAGGGGTCAGGAGGGGTGAGAGTGGGGGACCAGAGCTGGTGTCCTTGTTTGGGACAGGAGTGTGGTCGGCCAGCGGGCAGCTGAGCAGGACTGGGTACTGGGAGAGCTGAAAAAAGAGTCTGGGGGTTGGTGGAGAGGCATGTGGAGAGCCTTGTGTCTGAGCAGGGAGATGAGGGTGGGCTGAGAGGTCTCTGCTGCTGCCTGGTCCGGAGCTATCACGGGAGCCTGAGTGTGGATGGGCTGGTGGCTTGGAGAGAGCTGGGGGCTGGAGGTGCTCTGCAGGCTAGGGTCTGACAGCCATGCTTGTTGCAGATCCCCGGGAAGCTGCTGTTCATCCTGGTGAAGCACTACCTGTGTGTCACTTCTCTCATGGACAAGCTCAGCAGTGGCGTGGAGCAAGGAGGGAAGCAGCAGGACTGTGCTGTGCCCAGCCTGCTCACTGAGGAGGGGAGCCGTGTGAAGCAGGAGTTTGAGTTCAGCATGGCTATGGCAAACCTCATCTTGGAGCTGGTGCACGTGATGGGCTGGGACCACAGCCGCAAGCCAGAGCTGCTGCCCCAACAGGAGCTGCGGCCTCGCACCACCCACTCCATCTTCCAGCCCAAGACCTCAGCCTGCACTGCTGCCCAAATGCCTGTGCTTACTTCAAATCATGGTCCCCACAAAAAGAAGGGTCGTGCCTTCCTGACCCTGTCAGACTTCACAGACTGCAGTGGCTATGTGGAGTACTTAAAGGCAAACCTCGTGCGTGGCATGCGGGTGCGCTTGCTGGAGGACTGTGGTGATGTCAGAGCTGGGGAGGAAGGCGAGTTTCTTCAGAGCACTAATAGCATGCACACAGCGCAGGTAGGTCGCTAGTGGAAGTAGTCTGGCTGGGATGGCAGAGGGGAGTGGCAGGGATGACTGATGATTTCCTAATGATGACTTCCTAATGATGATGGACAATAGAGATATCATAATTAGGACACTGTCTACATATGTCCTAGCAAAGAAGTCACCTTTCAGAACTAGAAGTGCAGGTCCTAAGGAAAGCTAGTCTGGTTTAGTATGGGCTGTCCTGCTAAGATTTCTTAGCCTTTAAAACAGGTGGCTGTATCCTGCCTCCCAGGAGCAGTCCCTAGCCCTGGTTTGATCTTGGGGTTGGTTTGGGAACAGGCTAGCTGGCACAAATGAGTAACACAGCAAAAGGTGCTTGAAGGTCTTAAGCCTTGGTATGTGAGCGATGGTATTTATGGCATACTGTTGTTCTCACTGGGTTAGACACAGCCTACATAGCTGTTTCTTTTGATCTGCAGGTATATGTGGGGATCTGTTTCCCTTTAAAAATGCCCTTTGGGTGAGTAGACCTTAAATGAGAGTTTGTGTTCAAAAGAGCTGGTAGAGCTGTGTATCTGCAGTTGAGTTGCTAAGTTTGTGCCAGGGATCAGGGAAAGGGCCTCAATATTTGAGGAGGGGGAGGAATCCTAGAATCATATAATAGTTTGGGTGGGAAGGGGCCTTTAAAGGTCATCTAGTCCAACCTCCCTGCAATGAGCAGGGACATCATCAACTAGATCAGGTTGCTGAGAGCCCTGTCCAACCTGACCTTGAATGTTTCCAGGGATGGGGCATCTACCACCTCTCCGGGCAACCCGTTCCAGTGCTTCACCACCCTCATTGTAAAGAATTTCTTCCTTATGTCCAATCTAAATCTACCCTCTTTCAGTTTAAAACCATTACCTCTTGTCTTATCGCAACAGGCCTTACTAAAAAGTCTGTTCCCATCTTTCTTATAAGCCCCCTCTAAGTACTGAAAGGCTGCAATAAGGTCTCCCTGGCGCCTTCTCTTCTCCAGGCTGAACAAACCCCAAGTCTCTCAGCCTGTCCTCATAGGAGGGGTGTTCCATCCCTCTGACCATTTTTTTGTGGCCCTCCTCTGGACCTGCTCCAACAGGCCCATGTATTTCTTGTACTGAGGGCTCCAGAGCTGGATGCAGTACTCCAGGTGGGGTCTTACCAGAGCATAGTAGAGGGGCATAATCGCCTCCCTCGACCTGCTGGCCACGCTTCTTTTGATGCAGCCCAGGATATGGTTGGCTTTCTGGGCTGCAAGCGCACATTGCTGGGTCATGTCCAGTTTTTCATTCACCAGTACCCCCAAGTCCTTCTCCACAGGGCTGCACTCAATCTGCTCATCACCCAGCCTGCATTGATACTGGGAGTTGCCCTGACCCAGGTGCACTTGGTCTTGTTGAATCTCATGAGGTTCACATGGGCCTACTCCTCAAGCTTGTCCAGGTCCCTCTGTATGGCATCTCGTCCCTCAGGCATGTCAACCACACCACTCAGCTTGGTGTCATCTGCAAACTTGCTGAGGGTGTACTCAATCCCACTGTCTGTGTCATTGCTGAAGATCTTAAACAGCACCGGTCCCACCATGGACCCCTGAGGGACACCACCCATCACTGATCTTCATCTGGCCATTGAGCCGTTGACCACTACTCTCTGGATGCGACCATCCAGCCAATTCCTTATCCACCGAACAGTCCATCCATCAAATCCATATCTCTCCAATTTAAAGAGAAGGATGTTGTGGGGGACCATGCCAAAAGCCTTACAGAGTCCAGATAGATGACATCCATAGCTCTTCCCTTGTCCACTGATGTAGTCACTCCATCATAGTAGGCCACTAGGTTGGTCAGGCAAGACTTGCCCTTGGTGAAGCCATGCTGGCTGTCTTGAATCACCTCCCTGTCCTCCGTGTGCCTTAGCATAGCTTCTAGGAGTATCTGTTCCATAATGTTCCCAGGCACAGAAGTGAGGCTGACAGGTCGGTAGTTCCCCCTTTCTACCCCTTTTTAAAACAGATGCAATGTTTCCCTTTTCCCAGTCACCAGAGACTTTACCCGATTGCCATAACTTTTCAAATATCATGGAGAGTGGCTTGGCAACTACATCAGCCAATTCCTTCAGGACTCTGTGATGCATCTCGTCAGGTCCCACAGACTTGTGTATGTTCAGGTTCCTCATGTGGTCTTGAACCTGATCTTCTCTTACAGTGGGAGGGACTTTGCTCCCCCAGTCCCTGTCTTGAGGTTCATCCACTCCAGAGGTGTGGGACGAGAGATTGCCAGTGAAGACTGAGGCAAAAAAATTGTTGAGTATGTCAGCCTTCTCCTCGTCTGTTGTTACCAGTTTGCCAGTCTTGTTCATTGGGGGGGACGGGGACATACACTTTCTTTGACCTTCCTTATCTGGCTGACATACCTACAGAAGCCCTTCTTATTAATCTTTGTGTCCCTTGCCAAGTTCAGCTCCAGCTGTGCCTTGGCCTTCCTGACCCCATCCCTACACCACCGGGCAACATCCTTATACTCTTCCCGGGATACCTGTCCCTGCTTCCACTGCATGTGCATTCCATTTCCTTCTTGCCCTTTAGTTTGACCAGCAGGTCATGACTCATCCATGCCAGTTTCTTGGCTTTCTTTCCCGATTTCTTACACATGGGCATTGAGAGCTCTCGTGCTCTATGGGAAGCATCCTTAAAGGTCTGCCATCTCTGTTCTGCTCCCTTGTCCCTGAGCGCAGTTTCCCAGGGAGTCCCATTGACTAAATCCTCGAACAGCTGGAATTTTGCTTTCCTAAAATTCAGGGTCCTGACTTAACTCTTTGCCTGTCCTGTATTCCTCAGGGCTGTGAACTCCAGCAGTGCCTGATCGCTGCAGCCCAGGCTGCCTCCAATCTTAACGTCTGTGACTAGCTGACTTGTGTTGGTGACCAAAAGGTTCAGTAACGCATCTCCTCTGGTAGGGCTGTCTATTACCTTGCCTAAGAAGTTATCCTCAATGCACTCCAGGAGTCTCCTGGATTGCCTGCAGCTTGCTGTGCTACTTTTCCAGCAGATGTTGGGGTGGTTGAAGTCCAGCAGGATGAAAGCCTGCAAGAGTAATCCCTCCTGTAGCTGGAGTAAGAAGGCTTTGTCAGTAGGCTCCCCTTGATCAGGCAGCCTGTAGTAAACACGGACCACAAGGTTCCCTTTGTGGGCTTGATCTCTAATTCTTGGCCTAAGGCATTCAGCTCTTGCTACTCCCAGAACATCCTGCTAGTGATGGGCCAGTGCTGGAGCAGCAGGGCTTGGACTCAGGCATAGGGGTGGGAAAGCATTTGAGTGCTGCTCCAGCCTTTTTGTGGGCATGGGGGAGGTGCTTGTTCCTGCTTAGACCTTTTTCTTGAGACTTTCTTCTCAATCCTGAAGGCTGGGTATGTTCAGTGAGAGCTGAGATTTTGTTTTGACTATGCAGTGGGGTGCTGGTGGGCTTTGTGCGTCACTCTAATCTATGTATGGTTATTTCTGCAGACTGTCTGCTGATCTTGCACTTTGGCCATGCTTTTGAGCTTCCCAAACATTGCAGCTAGAGGCACAATTTCTGTTGTCTTAAAAATCAAGCTTTAGCTGGCTGTCGTCCATAGATAGAGGGTTGTCTCTGCTCGTGTCCTCTGCTCAGTCCAGCATTGTGTTGGCTGCAAACAGGGCTATAATTCAGTTCATGAAATCTTAAGTAAATTGAGATAGTAACCAGTAAAATGAGAAACTGTAACCACTACACACGTTAGTGTGTGTAATTGTGGGTTTGGTTTGGTTTTCTATCCCCCAAGTAATTTGTAGAAGTGCATACTTTGGTTTTGCAGATGATAAATAAGGAGTCTGAGGCCACTTCAGCTGGTCATAGCTGTACTTCAGGTGCCACTTCAGCCTATGCTCAAAGGCTTCCCTAGTTCAAGCTGATTTCTGTGGATGTAGATGGCCTGCGAATAGAATTAAGTGCCATGCTAGTGCAAAGCTTTGTTTTGCTGATACGCAAAAATCAGTAGTTGAAAAGCCCCACTCTGGTATCTAAAAATGCATGACTTCCTAATGCTCTTTCCAAATCTCTCCTGCTGTGACTTAAAGTTCATTACCAGCCTTTCCAGAGTGGAGGTAGAGAATTTGACATTACCTTCTGTATGTTTGAAGATCATCTCCTTTAAATCTACTTTCAGTTTTTGTTAAGCAGGAGATTCTCTAGCCTTCTTGGACTATGGCCCACTTTATTTTGTGTAATGCCATTGCTTTCATTTACAGCCAAATAAAAATTAGCCAATTAAGAACACTAAACACTGACTTATTTCTTTTCTCCTATTGTCTCTCTTTGCTTTCTTGTGCACAGGGAAATGGTGTGAATATTCTTTTGGTTTTTTTCCTCAGCCAGTTGCAGACTGCTTTTTCCTTCTGATACTCTTCTGTTTATTCAGTGAGAACTGGTTTTAGGATGATTTTTTCCAGTCACCTTTCAGTAACTTCAACTTACTCTGGTCCAGGCTCCTTAATTTCCTTCTAGTTTTGGAGCACTTCTTGCAGATGTAATTTAAACCAGCAGCTTAAAATGCTCTGAAATGTGCATGTGCAAGAAGGAAGCTTCCAGCCTTATCTGCTTGTTTGGTGGTTGGATGTTACCAGTATGTGCTTGTATTGGGAGAGTGTAACTGTTAGGGCAGCATGTGCTGTGCAAATATGGCTTGCCCATCTTATTTGCACTTTCTTCTAGTTCCATTCTTTCCCCTTCATACTCCTAAGTTCTTGGGTTCTGTTGAGCAGATTTCTTGCCCACAGTTCCTCTACTTAATCACTTTCTTCTCTGGTTTAATAATTTACAGTTTGATGCCCTGTGCTTTACTAAAGTTGACAATTTAAATTGATCTTTTTTTAAATCTAGAAAATCAGTTACTTTAGCAAAGAAAACTAGTGCATCAATCTGTTAGAATTGAAACTTGAAGCAGGTTTACCTGTTAATTCAAATTTATTGCTTATCTTCAATATCATTAGTTGT